TGGTGTATGTTAGACCTGTCACTGAGGGCCAGAAGAAGGATAACTCCACAGACCCAACAATTGCCAAGCTGCTGGAGGAGTTCAAAGATTTGACTGAGTCGCCGACAGTAGTAGTGCCGCGACCCATCCAGCATAGGATAGATATAGAGCCTGGCAGTAGAACACCTAAGGGTGCAGTCTACAAGATGTCCCCTAGAGAGTTAGAGGAGCTTCGCAAGCAGTTAGACGAACTCCTTGAGAAAGGGTGGATCAGGCCCAGTTCGTCTCCTTTTGGAGCACCCSTTTTGTTTGTCCCCRAGAAGGAAGGAGAGCTGAGAATGTGTATAGMCTATAGGGGATTAAATGCGATCACCGTAAAGAATGCTGAGCCGCTGCCCAGGATAGACGATCTTTTAGATCGGGTGCAGGGTTGTAAGTATTTTTCTAAGATAGACTTAAAGTCCGGATACCATCAGATAGAGGTTCATCCTGATGATGAGTACAAGACTGTGTTCCGGACTAGATATGGGCATTATGAGTTTATAGTGATGCCCTTCGGACTAACCAACGTGCCAGCTACTTTTCAGCGTTGCATGAATGACCTGTTTAGACCGTGGTTAGATAAATTTGTGGTAGTCTACTTAAATTATATCCTAGTCTTTAGAAAGACCCTCCATGAGCACCAGGGTCATCTGAGGCAGGTCTTGGAGAAGCTTAGAGAGGCTAACTTCAAGATCAATGCGAAGAGGTGCGAGTGGGCCAAGACGCAAGTTTTGTACTTGGGCCACGTGTTGGACGGAGATGGCATTAAGCCAGAGGACAGCAAGATACCAGCGATTGGAGATTGGCCGACGCCCCGCACGTTGACAGAGTTGCGGTCGTTCCTAGGCCTAGCTAACTACTACAGGAAGTTCGTGAGGAACTTCTCCACTATTGCCGCTCCCTTGCGCAGGTAGTTGAAGAAAGAGACAATCTGGCAATGGGATAAAGACTGTACGTCTGCGCTAAAAAAGTTAAAGCGCGTTTTATAGAATATCCCGTCCTTGCCATTTGTCGTTACCACGGACGCAAGTCAGTATGGGATAGGCGCCGTGTTGCAGCAAGACGACAACAATGGCTATAGACCTGTAGAGTTCATGTCAGCGAGGATGCCCTGTGAGAAGGTTGCTACCTCCACGTACGAGAGAGAACTCTACGCTCTCAGGCAGGCTTTAGACCATTGGAAGCACTATCTGCTTGGGAGGCACTTCAAAGTGTATTCTGACCATGAGACACTTCGTTGGCTAAAGACCCAGGCCAAGATGACACCTAAGTTGACTAGGTGGGCCGCAGAGATGGACCAATTCGACTTTGAGCTCAAGCTAGTGAAGGGCAAGTACAATGTAGTGGCGGATGCTCTAAGTAGGAGATCAGACTACTTTGGAGCCGTAGTACATKATCTGGATATAGGGMGAGACCTGCAGGAAAAAGTGAAACAAGCGTATACGCAGGACCCTATCTATAGCGTCCTCCTAAAGAGAGTTAGAGAGACCCCAGAGACCGTACCAGATTACCGCACTACAGACGGGTTGTTGTTTGAGAAGACTAATGTGTTTGACCGCCTGTGCATTCCCAGCAGCGAAGAGATTCGTAGTCTAATTCTAGGGGAATGTCACGATACTGAGGGACACTTCGGTTGGCAAAAGACGTTAGCCAATCTGATGCGTGCGTACACATGGCCAGGGATGAAGAACGACTGCATAGAGTATGTCCGCGGTTGTAAAGTGTGCCAGAGGAATAAATCTACTACACGCGCGCCCCTAGGTCTTCTCAGACCATTGCCTATTCCGGATCAGCCGGGAGACTCGGTATCCATAGACTTCATGGACATGCAAGTCAAGAGCAGACATGGTAAGAGCCAAGTCATGGTCATAGTCGACCGTTTTAGTAAGTATGCAGTTTTTGTTCCCTTGCCTGCAGAGGCACGTACAGATTTAGTAATACAGAAGTTCTTTGACTTTTGGGTTAGTGAGAATGGAATCCCATTGTCAATAGTTAGTGATAGGGACAGTCGTTTCACCAGCCAGAACTGGCAAGAACTAATGAGAGTCTACGGATCT